CGTGGGGTATTGGTCTCGCCTGCATGCAAGTGCAGGCGATACAGGAGCTCCCTGCTGGTGGTCCTGCAGGGAATGCAGGTGGCAGGGAAGCCGTCCTGGAGAAGCCGAGCTGAGCCTTAGGGAGCTGAAATTGGGGCAGGTAGGATGGGACCATTTTGTCAACACCCACTGCCTCCCCATTTCTCTCCCTGCCTTTGATACCCAGTCCCCTTCCCCTTTTTACTGTTACACTGTTAGCTCTCCTCCCATGGCTGTGGCCCCAGTCTCAGGAGGCATTCATACTTTCCCTCCAGGAGCTTCACCCTCCTGAAGCCCACCAGGTCCTGAGCACAGCACCCTTCAGGGTGAAGGCTTGCCCCTGCAGATTTCTTACTGACTGACCCCTCCTCCCATGCCACCCTCTGCACCCAGCCCCGGCTAAGTCTCTGCTCATTGCCCTGCGTTCTGTGTTCCATGTTCCATTCCTGGTGGACATCTCACAGTGCCCCCAGGTCTCCATGCTGTCACAGCTTCTTCACTTTGCCAGCACTGTTCTCTGCCTGGAATCCTTTCCCTCATCTCTGCAATAATGTGGCCAGCCTCCTACTTGTCCTTGAAAAATCAGTTTGGATGTTCTCATCAGTATACCTCCCTTCCCTCACCAAGCAATCCCTGAAAGGAGAGGACTGGCATTGTGGTCCTGTACCCAGGCACATGCATGTTGAATATCTGTCTTTCGTATCTTTATATCTGAAGGGGTGAGCCTGAATGTAGAGGAAGTTAGGGACATAGTTGGCTTCAGCTCTAGTCTAAAAAAATGGACATTTTATGAATGAATCAGTGATGATAGGTTTGGAAGAAAACTTATTTTCAATTCCTACATTCTCTGCCATATGGCCAGATAAGCTAGTGTTTTCAAAAACTAGAGAGAAGCTTTTTTTTTTAATCACCAGAGGATATGTTTGTTTGTTGTTTTAATTGATTTTAGAGAGAGGAAAGGACAGAGAGAGAGAGAGAGAGAGAGAGAGAGAGAGAGACATTTTGTTGCCTCCTGTATGTACCCTGACCAGGGATCAAACCCACAACCCAGGTATGTACCCTGACCAGGAGTCGAGCCAGCAACCTTTCCGTGTACAGGACAGTGCCCCAACCAACTGAGCCATCCAGCCAGTGAGGGCAAGAAAGCAGCTTTTTAAAAGTGATAAAGCAAAAATAGCTAACAATGTATGTCCTGACTTTAATATATGATCAATTTGTCATATATTTGAAAATTAATTTTCTTGCATTTTAAAAACCTATTGTCATTATACCTCAGTTTAAAAAGTGAGGGTCAGCCTGCGGACTGAAGGGTCCCAGGTTTGACTCCAGCCAAGGGCACATACCTCAGTTGCAGGCTCAGTCCTGGCCCTAGTCCAGGTGAGTGCAGGAGGCAGCCAATCGATGTCTCTTTCTCACACTGATGGGGTTTTTTCTGTCTCTCTCTCTCCCCCTTCCACTCTCTCTGAAAAGCAATGGAAAAAATATCCTCGGGTGAGATTTTAAAAAAAAAAGTATGAAAAAAAGAACACTCTCTACCAAAGACGACAGTTGGCAAATAGGAACAAGAAAAGATGCTCAATATTACTAATCATTAAGAAAATGCAAACTAAATTATAATGAGCTATTGCTACATACTAAACAGAATGACTAAAATAAAGTATTTTTTTTAAAAACCTGACAATACCAAGTGCTTGTGAGAATGAAGAGCAGTTGGAACTCCCATATATTGCTGATGGGAATGCACAATGGCATGGCTATCTGAAACCTATATAATTTTATTAACCAGTGTCACTCCAATAAGTACAATTTAAAAAAAAGAAAATGGGGAAAAAATGGCATAGCCACTTTGGATAACAGGTAGTTTCTTACAAGGTTAGATGTATACTTACCATATAGCAACTCCACTTCTAGGTACTCACCCAAGAGAAATGAAGACCTGTAGGTGAATGTTTATAGCTTCACTATTTATTATTGCCCCAAACTGAAAATAGCCCAGGTCTCCTTCACCGGGACGAAGGAGAAGCAAATGATGGTGTATTCATACAGTATAACACTACTTAGCAATAAAAAGGAATGAATACTGACATGGGCAACAGCATGGATCAATCTCAAAAGAATTATGGTAAGTGACAGAGCCAGTCACAAAGCCAGGCTACAGCTGTGTCATTCCATTTGCCCTGGACAGCTTGGAGAAGGGACAGAAATCAGATCAGTGGTTGCCAGGGACTGTGTAGGGAGGAGACTTGACTGCAGGGGCACAAGGGGGCTTGGTCGGGAGATGGAAGTATTCTGTGCCTTGATGTGGTGATGGCTGTGCTCGGTATACCTTCATCTGAACTCATGTGAGTATTACTGGAAAGGGTGCATATTAGTGTGTGTAGATTTATCTCAGTTTAGAAAAACAGCTGCCAGTGGCCCTGCTCTGAGGAGGACCACCAGCGCCTTGCTCAGGGGAGCTGGATGGCCACATTGCTCTGTCAGAAGGTGGTTTATGGAGACGGAAACAGTGGTACCTTGAGTGTTTCTATATGTGGACTAAGTGATGGTCTGCCTCAAACCCATATGGAGCCTTGAGCAAAGGTCAGTGGGGCTGGAGCATCTCAGTGCCTGTTGTCTTGAGCACTCCCTTCTCCCCTGGGCCCAGCAGTGGTCACAGTGCCAGCATTTAAACGTAAAACACATGCTTCTGGAAACATCCTTCCTGTACTCCTTGCTGCTTTTCAGATTTCAAGAGTAGTTATTTAAATACAGGGTAGGGCAAAAGTAGGTTTACAGTTTGTATAGAAAATAATGCAATAATTAATAAATAAGAATATGAGAATAAACTGTTTCACGTACTCCTACTTTTCTTTTAGCTATAAACCTACTTTTGCCCACCCTGTGTGTGCTGATGGGTTGTACCAAGGTGGACCTTGTTAAGAAACACCCTTTTCTGTAAATCTTTTGAGAAGGGTTTTAAAAATCAGAGAGATAGGCAGGTTTCTGGAGAGCAAACATATTTTGATGTTGATGACCAGTTTGAATATCATTGGTAACAGTGAGGAAACCCAGGTGTGCATGGTGCTTCCATGGGGACTGTCAGGCATGCATGGAGCATGATGATCTTGGCTCTCCTTGCACCAGCTCAGCGATACTGACTTGGGTTTTGTTGGTTTATTTTTTTCATCCTGCTATAAATTTCAAAATGACAGCTAGGCTCTATTTTAAATGGGAAGTGAGCATGTGATGTGACTTTCAAGTGGTTGTGAAGGGCTCTCCTTCGCCTTCCTATAAAGGGGCTGCTGACGGATGGAGCTGAAAGCTCAGGTTCAGCCTGTGTTGGTGAGCTGCTCACCTGCTTCCCTGACTGAGGGCTAACTGCCAGGCCACGCCTGGGCTGGGGGCTGCGGAGGGAGCGGTTCCTGGTGCTCACGCACTTCAGCAAGCCTGCTGCATATCACAGCTGGCCTCTGGGGAGGGCTGCCAGGCCACCTGACTCCCAAGGCTCCTACTGTCCCCAGGGGAGCGGGGACATCGCAGCCCATCTCTGTGTAGCGCTGTGGGTTCTGTGCCTTCCCAGGCTCTGCCCACCATTCCCCCGACACCCTTCTTCACCTGGTTAGCTGGGTTCCAGATGGTTAGCTGGTTCACACTGTGAACCAGAGTAAAATAGGCAGTGCTGTTGGTCTCCACAGCCTGCATGGCAGAGAGAGGACTTTACCCTTTCTGTGGGAGTGGGGCTCTGGTCTCCAGGGGCTTCCATATTCACTGCCAGCGAGGATGAAATACGAATATGATCAGCCAGGCAGAGACTTTTATTATTATTTTAATCCTCACCTCTAAGGACATTTTTTCCTTTGCTTTTCAGAGAGAGTGTGTGTGTGGGGGGGGGATCCACACTGATGTGAGAAAGACCTCACATCCTTTGGTTGCCTCCCACATACACCCCAACTGGGGCTGGGGAGCAAGCCAGCAACTGACGTACATGCCCTTGGCCGGAATTGAACCTGGGACCCTTCATTCCGCAGGCTGACGCTCTAACCATTGAGCAAAACCAGCTAGGGCTGGGCAGAGAATTTTAGAAATGCTAAAACTGACAAAAGGTTGACTAGAATTTTTGAAGATGGAGAAAAAGATTGAAAATGCAGTAGGTCATTTTTCTGTCCCATTTCCTCTGGGAACCATGTATTTCTGGTGTCCAGGAGGAGCTACTTGGTGTCCTTTCAAGTCAGCGGCTCAAAGAATGAAACATTGAACACTTGGTTATCTCTCCAAATTAGCCACTAGTATTTTCTCAATTACTCTGGGCTACTCTCTCCTTTCATATGTAAGAAAAAGTTGTCAAAACTCACCTCAGTCCTTATCAAAGCAGAGAAGGGTGTGCAACTGTGGGATCTTCGCAAACTATGTGACTTCTCTAAGCCTTGGTCTCCTCATCTTAAAATGGGGACAGTTATTCCTGCTTGTAGGGCGGTGGCAGTATTTGGAGGTGTAATATACCTATTGCGGTGTTTGGCACATAGTAGGTGCTCAGTATGTGGGAAATAGTGTTGATTGCTATGATCAGGAAGCAATAGTAATCCAGCATGTGATGACTTCAAAGCAGAACTGTTTATACTCATGATGATCAAAGGCTGGCCCCTCAGTCTGCATGCGATGCCCCCTTGCTGCCCTCGGCCCCTCACTTCCCTCCATCATAGCCCTCCCCAAGCTGGTCTGTCTCCCTCCCTGACCCACAGGTCAGAGTATGGGCACTGGCTGCATGGACATTGAGAAGCTCTGAATGGCTGTTTTGTGTGTTCTTGCGTTAAGTGACGCCTGAAGCTTGTCATTTAATGAGGTCGGATGCCTTTCTAATGGGAACGGGATGAGCTTTTGGGAACCTGGTTGGCCTGGAGGCTGTTTGTACAACAGTGAGGGTCAGGCCATCTCACTCTGGGAGGGGCTGGCAGGTGGGCCGCTGCCCTGAGCCCCATGCTTCCCAGCATGCTTCTGTCTCCTAGGTCGGGAACTACAAGCGGACCGTGAAGCGGATTGATGATGGCCACCGCCTGTGCAGCGACCTCATGAACTGCCTGCATGAGCGGGCGCGCATCGAGAAGGCATACGCGCAGCAGCTCACTGAGTGGGCCCGGCGCTGGAGGCAGCTTGTGGAGAAGGGTAAGGTGGCCCCTGCCCAGGACAGCTCTGGGCAAATTGGTGACCTCTGTGCCAGTCTCCTCTCTTTTAAGGAAGTGGGCAGGAGTGTGTCTTGAAGTTCTGGGGCTGTGATTTGTTTGGGGGAGCAGCAGGGTGCTGTCACCAAGCAGCAGACGCTGCATGAGACTTCCTCTTTTCCTTAGGGCAGGACTGCTCTGGGGACAGCATCTGAGTCTCCCATGGATGCTGCACTTGCCAGTTTAATGCAGAACAGCTCCCTAAGGGCCCACACTTGAGTGAGCTCCTATCAGAGAAGAGGCCTGGCTGCTTAGTCCCGTGATTCTGACCCTGAGAGCCATTGATTTGTGAGCTCTGCCATGTAGTGAATCAGACAGGACTGGATAGTGACATCCAGCAGAACTTCAATTTTGAATTTTAATGGATAACAGGTTTCGTTCCTCTCCGTCCCTAGCCAAACAGGAGATTCTGGAGCTTAGTGACAGAACACTGCTGTGGACATGGTGTGTGCTCAGAACACTTCCCAGCAGTTAGACTGATTATGGGGTTTCCTGGGATGGAGTGGGTTAGTAGGAGTTTCTCAGTGTGTGTTTGGAGCAGGTTCTACCATGACCGCTATCCTCAAAGGCACCAACCAGGGGATACTAGGCCCCTGGGTCGGGTCCTGGAAAGCCAGGGGTTTCAGAGGGCAGGGCTACCCGGATCTGGACCAGTGTGGCGGCTGAGCGTGGGTGAGGAGTAGCCAGGGTCGGGCCGGCTCCCTTGGTAAATGGTAGCTGTTGTCATTTGTTTCTGCCTCTCAGGATCCAGCCGTTAGCACAATTCCTTCTGTCCATTCAGAGCTTGAGGTTCACAGAGCACTTGCCCCTCACCTTGCGGATCCTGCCACAGCACTGCGGACCTAGGCAGGACAGGGAGCTGTTGGTTTCATAGAAGCGAGGGATTAGGGGTTCAGAGGGGCTCACCTTCCATGGTTACCCACCCTCCCCTCCCCACCAGTGCCTCTCTATGTCATCTCAAATAGTAGCTGTCCTCTGTGAGCGCCTTGAAGATGACCTGGGGCTTCCATTTTCATCCCCAGCTTCTGCCTTTCTCCCTCCCTCACCTCATGCCACCCCACACCCTCAAAATGACAGGCCGGCCTGTGGGTTTCCTTTCTGAGAACAGTAAGTGAGGTGACTCAGGCACCCCACCCCACTATCTAGAGATTGCCATCTGGGCCAGAGCTGGTTCCTGCTTCCAACTTTCTTTCCTTCCCCAAGACAGGGCTTCTATTCTGCTGAGGGCACAGTCCTCCCTTCCACAGGCAGTTCTCGAGTTCCTGCTCTGAGCCGGCTCTTCCTGGGCGTGCATAACAGGTCCTGGCCCTCAGTCCTGGGGGAGAGTGTGTAGAGGGGGCCAGGTGCTGAGGAACCCCCCAGAGGGACGTGGCCTGGGAGAGAGGTCAGCTTACTTAAGAAGACCCCTCCTCCTACAGCCAGCCTTACACAAATTAAAACTGCAGAAATTTGAGCTTTTAAAGAGCCCAGTGACTTTAGAAGAGGAAATTGTGTACCCTCCCAAGTTCCTGAACAAAAGAATGGCCGAGCTGACTCGCCTTCAGTTCCTTATTCTCTTCATCATCCCAAGGACTGAAAAAGGAACAGCCACTGAGAAAAGTTTCTGAAACAACCAAAAGGAACCTCCTGGCCAGACGTCGGGCTGCTGGCCCCAAGTCCCCCACAGCTGGGAGAGACTGACAGGAAATCCCCACCTGGGGCCTGTCCGCCCCGCAGTGACAGGTGACCACCAGCTTCTCTCCTGTGCAGGGCCTCAGTACGGGACGGTGGAGAAGGCCTGGATGGCCGTCATGTCTGAGGCGGAGAAGGTGAGCGAGCTGCACCTGGAGGTGAAGGCCTCGCTGATGAACGAAGATTTTGAGAAGATCAAGAACTGGCAGAAGGAGGCCTTTCACAAGCAGATGATGGGGGGTTTTAAGGAGACCAAAGAAGCCGAGGACGGCTTTCGGAAGGCACAGAAGCCCTGGGCCAAGAAGCTGAAAGAGGTGCTCCCCTCCTGCAGGTCACTTCCCTTCCTGCAGGTTGCTCCCCTCCCCCAGACCTGTGCCCCTGGCTGGGGACCTCTGCCCTAGCCCTCCCCACCAGCAGCACTCCCCTCCTGCACACCCAGGAATTCCTGCTGTCTGTTAGCATCAGAAAGCCCTTAGTCACTAACATTTACCTAAGTTCCAAACTTAAACTGAATCCCCATCAACCCATTTTACAGTCAGGACACTGAGGATCAGAACCACACGCTGGTGACTGAGCTCAAAACCCAGACTCTTACCCACTAACACTACTTCCCCCAGCCTGGGAACTATCTGCTAGAGAGGTTTAAAAGCCCCTTTGGGCTAGTAGAAAGGATTATAGTTTTCCTTTCTCTTATATGTGTTTTTCTTTCAAATTTGCAAATGATACTGAGATTCATTTTTCTGAAAGGAGCGACTGAAGCCACTGAGTCTTGTCCAGGCTTGGCTCGCTGGAGGCTTTCAGACGTACACACATCCCCTCCCCGCCCCCGGCACTTGCGGACCCCCACCTGCAGCCTGGCCAAGCCCCTTCCGGGGGTAGAGGTGCCTCTTCCCTCCATCCCCTCCCACTCCCCGGCTTTTCTCAGGAGTGGCACTGCCCTCCTCCCCCTCAGAATCACTCCGTCAGGCCTGAGTCTTCTGGTTGGAACAACAGTCTTTCCTCCTTTCCTCTGTATCTTGGCCTTTGCCATTCCCGTCTTGTCCCTGGCCCCATTTGTAGTGACACTATCCCCCTCATGAGGCTGTGGGTGCAAACTCATCTCTCCTCTCCAGAATGAAATCTGTGACTCGCTCAAGTAAGGAAGCTCCCATTAAATAAATTACACACACATCAGTATCTCTCTGCATGTGTGTATGTATATAGAAACAGTAGCCATTAAAAACTGTGGGAAGTGTGGCCTAGGACCCACCTCTTGTTAGGTTTCTCTTGTGAAACTTCCTTTGCATTGCTCTTCCCACTGCCTGGCATACTTCCCTCAGGTGGCCCCTCTAATCCTGGCTCCCCGTCATCTGGGCGGCTTTCCAGCGCAGCCCCACTGGCCCGGCCCCACCGCTGGCTTCTGTCTCTTCCTTGCTTCTCCTCCTTGGCACTTATCACTTAATTTACCCTGAACTTCAACTGTTTCTTGTAGCTGCCTCCCCAGCTAGACCCTAAGCCCCATGAATGCCCAAGTCCTTTGTCTGGTGCCGTATCCCTCCCTGGTGCCTAGGACAGCGCCCGGCACAAAGCAGACACCAGTCAATGTCTGTTGAATGAAGTCCTGTTATAACCACTTGTAACTAGACTGAGCACACAGCTTTGTGCCTGCTCTTTCCTCGCCTCCTGATAGCACTAGCACTTCCCATGGTCTCTGTAGCCTCAGGCGAGGATTTTGACCTTTCAGAATCAGGATGTTTAGAAATGCCTTCTCCCTGTAGGTAGAAGCAGCAAAGAAAGCCTACCACGCAGCGTGCAAAGAGGAGAAGTTGGCCATATCACGAGAAAGCAATAGCAAAGTGGACCCATCCCTCAACCCTGAACAGCTTAAGAAATTGCAAGACAAAGTAGAAAAATGCAAGCAAGATGTTCTTAAGGTAAATCATGCAGGGTCTCTTCACGCGATGTGTGCACCTGCCTCTCCCGTTTGCACATCTGGCACACGGGAGCCTTTGCTGCTGCTTGGTTGCCTAGGTGCATAGAGGGAGACTGCAGTAACACACATTCCTGCCCTTGGGAAGGCCTCACCAGAGCCCACTGTGCCCAGCTCAGGATTTCTGTGCTCGGGGATAAGGTGCTGGGGCACTGGGGTTGCTGCAGAGAGCGGGAAGGAACACTTGTGCGGGATGTGGAGGTGTGAATGTCCACAAGCGGGGAGCCGATGTATGAGCTGGTATGGAGGGTTCTGAGGACCAAATTGCCAATGGCCTTGAAGTCAGGCAAAGTAAGGAGCTTGAGACATTGCTGACAAGGAGCCACTGAAAGAAGGGAGGGCAGAGGTGTGGAGGACCAGACGGGTTAGAGGGCTTGCTCTGGTATGGGAGTTAGTCCCAGTGGAGGGGTAGAGGCTGGTGTGCTGGCACCATAGGGAGCTCAGGGACCTGGAGCAGGAAAGATTTTTCTGGCAGCCTCATCAGTGAAGGTCCCAGGAGTTTGGGGGAGGAAAGCGGCAGGGACTCTCAGTCAAGAAGAGACTGTGAAGAGGCGGTGTGGCATCTGGATGCTCTCTGTGTCTTCCACTGTGAAGGGAGGGCCACTCCCCCTTCCCCTGCAGTGGATTAGTGAGATCAAATGGGATGTGTGTGTTTATGAAGGGCTCCTCAGAGACAGGTAGGTCTCTGCCTGGAAGGTCTGAGTCACAGGACTTAAACACGAGACAGCATCTTGTAATTTAATAGTTCCCAGGAAGTGAGCCGGGGCTGGGCCTGTGCCCTGGCCCCACTGTCTGCTTTGCTCTGGGGGAGGGGGAGAGGCTGCCACCATCAAGGGACTTGAGGGGTGCAAAGGACACAGATTGGGGTGCTCCTTAGATACGGGTGACAGCTTCGCATGGTGCTTATTCCTTATACAAGTCACCCAGAGTGGCTGGCATAATATTGTCACCTGATTAGTAAGTCTAGTTGGTGCTGAATTCAGAAGTGGTGGAAAGGGACACAAGCCTGAGGACCCGTGTGGCGCAGAGCCAGGCTCACTTACTCTTGGCTGGTGAACCTTCCTCTGTGGTGTCTGCATTTCCTACAGACCAAAGAAAAGTATGAGAAGTCCCTGAAGGAGCTGGACCAGAGCACCCCCCAGTACATGGAGAACATGGAGCAGGTGTTTGAGCAGTGCCAGCAATTCGAGGAGAAGCGCCTACGCTTCTTCCGGGAAGTTCTGCTGGAGGTTCAGAAGCATCTGGACCTGTCAAACGTGGCCAGGTAAGTGTCCTTTTAGCCACAAAGCATGTCACGGTGAAGTCAGTGGACTGTTGCTTTTGAGCAAAGCTCAGTTGCTAGTCTCCAGCCTTGGGGTGGCAGTGTTTGTCAGATCTTCTCACGGTTGTTATGTTCTCCTGTCTGGGGAGAGCCCCTCTGCTGAGCCTGTCAGTGGCTCCCCGCGCACCCTGTCACTGGCCTGAGCCCGATAGCCTCTTGCCATGCAGGAAGGGGCCGTGCTCTGCCAGCTCTGCATACAGGACTCTGGGTCCATGCAGGAGGACGGCTATGGCTCGGACCTGCCCCGGTTGTTGAATATGAAGTCATCCATGCAAGTCCAGCATTTCCGGGCTGGCACACCCTGCCCCCACGATGGTCTGACTTTGAGGCCCCTTATAAGTCCTCTCTGTCCAGACCAGCTGGCTGCCAGCTCGGTCCTTGACTTCTCAGTGGTTCTAGGCCCGGGCAGCACAGACCCTCGGAGGCTCAGATCTGAATCGTGATGTGGAGGCTGGGAAATTTCTTTTGCATTTCTCTGTCTTTGGTCCCATGATGCCTTTGCTCAGGGCAGAGGTCTGGGCTAACTGTGGATATAGACTTCTGTCATCCACAGAGCAGAGCCATTTAGAATCGTCTCACTAGTCAAGGCTTGTTAGCAGGAAATTACATTCCCTTTGTCTTCTTCTGTATAAAAAACTGAGAGCAACAATTATTGCACAGCTACGCTTTCACCATTTAATTAATCTTTACGGCAGTCTGTAAAGTAGGTGGCATTGTTGATGAGGCAGCTGAGCCTGGGTGAGGTTAAGTGACTTGCCTGAGGCTGCACAGCTGGCTGGGGCAGGGCTGGGCTGGCAGGCTCTTGTGTGTGCAGAGTAGCTCCCATATGTGAGTGCTTGGCCTTGGCTGGCATGCCTGGCCGTAGTCCTCCAAGCCACCCTGGTGGTAGATGGTGTAGCAGTGTCTTGGGGCTGCTGTGACGAAATACCACAGACCGGGTGGCTTGCATTAGCAGGAGTGTATTCTCTCGCAGTTCTGGGAGATCCAGTGTTGGCTGGGCGTGCTCCCTTTTATTAAAAAAATGGGGGATTTGGACACAGACACAGAGGGAAGATGGTCATGGGACTGAAGGGACAGTCTACAGCTCTAGCGCAGCATCTGCCTGCCTCTTCCAGCTTTTGGTGTTTGCTGCCAATCCTTGGCCTTCCTGGGCTATAGACTGTCACTTCAGTCCCATGACCGTCTTCCCTCTGTGTCCAAATTCCCCCTTTTTTATAAAAAGATGCCCAATTAAGGCCCACCCCAATGACATCATTTTAACTTGATTACCTCTTTAAAGACCATGTGTCCAAATAAGGTGACACTCTGAGGTGCTGGGGGTTAGGACTTCAACATATCTTTTGGAGGACACAATTCAACTCATAACAAATGGCATTGTGCTCACTTCATGGAGGAAACTGAGGCCCAGGGAGTGTAAATGACTTGCCAGCCATAGGAGTTAGGAGTGAAAATGCCATGCCCCGCAGCAACACGTACTCCTGCTCCACGGGATCAGCTTCCTAGGAGGGCGAGCTGCTGTGAGCTGTCCAGCAGAGGGGTCCCCACCCCAGGTGACGGCTTCACATACTACTTCTGTGTGGCTAAGTGTAAACCTAGCTTTCTGAAGGGGTGAGGAGGAACTTTCCTGGCACTGGATTCTGGGCCTGATTAAGTGGGACCACCTGGATTGGTGGCCTGTGTGGCCCAGATGCCGGTGCTTTTTGTATCATCTGATACAGAGCAAAGCCAAGTTGCACCTGGTGATTGAAAGCTGACTTGTTAGAAGCCAGAGCTGTGGCTTCCACACCATGGTTGGTGGTGGTCGTCTGTGCACGTTGAGGCCAGGTGAGCACGCAGCCGAGCTGGGTGGGGTGTCCTGGTCTCAGTGTGAAGTCAGCTGTGGTGTAGCTGCAGACCTCGGTGCCTGCTGTGGCCAGGCACTGGGCTGAGACAAATGGTGGCCATCCGTGCCTTCCAAAGAAATCATGCTTCTCTCTGATTTAGCTACAAAAACATTTACCGTGAACTGGAGCAGAGCCTCAAAGCTGCCGACGCGGTGGAGGACCTGAGGTGGTTCAGAGCCAACCACGGGCCAGGCATGTCCATGAACTGGCCGCAGTTTGAGGTAAGAGGAGGCTGCACCCAGGACCCCCTTGGCCTGGCAGGGGCCTGGCCCACAGGGTTGAATCACACACTTTCTCGTTCCAACTCCACGTCGGCCTTTGCCCTGTTCATGAGGCAGCCGTTGCCCCTGGCTCCGCTAGAAAGCGCCGATGTTTAATTTTCCGGAGCTCCAGGCGTTACGGAAGGGCCTCTAGAGAAGGTGCAGCTATGTTCCTCCTCGTTAAGAACTGTGATGGTCACCTGTTGACCACTGGCATTCCCTGATGGTGAGTCCCAGGAGCTGCAAGACATGCGGGACACGCG